ATTTTCACAAGTGTGAATAATGTGAATTGTGCTAATGCTATAACTATCCTCTCTATGCCTGTATTAGTTACTTTCCCATCACCAGGAAAACAGGCCTGACACCTGCAGTTAAAAGCAGGCGGGGTTTCCTTTGCTTGCAGTTTCAGTGGGTCCAGTCCATAGTTAGCTGGCTGTAAGGCAGAAATATCATGGCAGAAGGGCCTGGCAGACGAAAGTCGCTCACATCATGGCCACCAGGAAGCAGAGAGAGACAGTGGGGCCATGGATAGAAATACACCCTCCCAGGCCACACCCCTAGGGACCTGTCTTGTCTGACTGCCCCCCTCCAACAGCCACTTAGCTACTGAACTCGTTTTTTTGTTGTTGTTGTTTTTCTGGTACTTGGAATTGAACTCATGACCTTGTACTTGTCAGGCTGGTGCTGTGCCGCTGAGCTGAATCCCCAGCCCCTAGCTACTGAACTCGTAGATGGATGGATCCACCAATGAGTACAGCACCCCCATGATTCAGTCACTTTCCAAACACATGAGACTTCCGGGGGCGGGTTTAGATCTAAACGATCGCATTGCCAGTGAAGAAGATGAGGCTCAGACAGGTTAAGTAGCTTGCCCAAGGTTCTACAGCCAGTAGGTGCCAGAGGCAGAGTATAAACCCAGACTACTCGACTGCAGGGCTTAGCTTTTAATTCACCACTTAACACCACACAGAGAAGCGCTCTGGAGACCATGATTGTTTGACTGCAATTCAACTGCTACACAGCAGTAGAGGACACAGCTTTGCCATTCACTGAGCTGAGGAAGCCCGGGGCTAGGCCAGTGGGCAAGCAGTTGCTGGGTGATCCATGAAGAGTTTTGGATTCACTGATGTTGAGGTGCTCAGTGAGTATGCATGCGGGGGCGTGGAAATTCAAGCAGACCTGTGGAAGAGGCAGTGGGGTAAATCCAGGCAAAAGCGATGAGTCCATTTGGGACTCTTCAACAGAGCTATGCTCAAACCTAGGAACTGCGGAGCAGGGAGCGTTTCCAGGAAGTACGTGTAGTCAAGGAAAGCATCTAAGAATGAGCCTCCGGAGCTCCAACACTGGGATGATAAGATCCACCAGAGAAATCAAGGGAGAGTGGCCACATAGCAAGGGGGTCCCGAAACCCAGGGAGGACAATGCTTCAATAAGGAAAGCGGGCCCCACTGCAGCAGAGTCAACTGAAACCAGACCTACTTGGCTCTGTGTGAGATTTAGGGGATTTGGCAGCGGGGATGAGGGGCAGAGGGAGGGGCAGCATCATGGTGGCTTTGAGCAAAGCCTGAAGTGAATGTATTCAGGGAGAAAAAAGAGCGGGCAGGAAATTCATTGAGGATGACACTTAACCCTTCTAATGTAGCCTGAGTGAACTTGAGGGCAATGCGCCTATCACAACACCCCTTAACTATGATGTCTCCTACTAGATCACATTCTCTTCAAAGGGCTGGGAACGTGATTGACCTTCCACGCCTTGCACAAGGTTGGCGTTTAGCAAATGAAGCGCTGCACTACATTTTGAAGAGAAAAGAAGCATTGTTCTGCGAACCAACACCACAACACATTATTCCCGTCCCACCTCCGACAGGACTCCCCTGGAAAAAACGCAGAGATCACAGAAACTTGGCGTGCTTTTCCCTTTTTCTTTTTCTTAAGCAATAAAGGTCAGATTCCCCCTATATGACCGCTTGTGTGAGTGTGCATGGTGCATCTTTTAAATGCACATTTTAGAATTCTGGTTCAGTTGGGAGAGAGTCCCTGCCAGCATGTCGGTTTGTGTGAATCGCAGCTCAGTGAAACCTTTCAGGCATATAATTTATCTTTTCTTTGGCTTATGTAGTAAATGCTTCATTTGTTCATGAATTCTTGCCTTGTTTTAATTATGCTATGCTCTGAATGTAGTTTTATGAGGCACAAAAATAAGATTGTCATTCTGAAAACACAGAAGATTTGTGTGTTTATCCCAGAATGAAATGGTGGCATCTCTCTCCTAATTCACGGCTCTGTGGTTTTGCGGTTGGAATTCCAATCCAGAGAGGGGCCAGCGCTGAAAGTGGGTAGGAGAGGACGGACAGCTGACCGGCTCGGCCCAAGGCATAATTTACCCTAAGAATTCTGAATCAATACATTTGACATCCATCTATGCATAATGTGGTCCTCCCACGAAGAAAGCCATTGATTGAGAAGTTTTATTCATGCGACTTTCTGAGCACTGCATTGTCCCACTGCACTCACAGAACAATTGGATTTATCTCCAAATACAGAACGGCACAGCCAGGGCTCTGATGAGAAAGCTTAAAGAAACCGGAGGTCTATTTTTTATATTAAAAATCCTAGCAAATGTATGGATGTGAATAGTCACAAGTTCACAGGCTGAAGAAGTGGCTATTTCATACCTTTTTAGTGTTTTATAGGTTCACTGTAGAGGGTGGGCATTCAGCAGTTCGAATTCCACTGATACCACCAACTAAAAATGGACATTTGCAGTGTAGCAAAATCAGACGCAGATTTCATTAGTCAGTCTGAGGGATCGAGCCTGCTTATGCAAAAAGGAGGACAGGTAGAATTTTTGGGTACTCTGAGAGATTATTATAACTTCAAAATATCAGTCACTCCAGCCTTGACTACATTAGATGCCTGTCCTGTTTCCCACACAAACACTACCTTCTGACTCACCTCTTGTCTTGGAGCCTATTCCATGTAAACTGAGGTGCTACCCCTAAGAGATCCCCCGCAGCCCCAGGAAAGGAAGCGGAGTTAATAAACCATGACTCTAAATGTTTCCTTCCCTTTTCTTAGACTAGAAATGGACGGAGTATGCTGGGCTTTAGGGTAAAACAGGGTCCAGGGTGGGCTCTAGAGTGCTGAACTGGTTTGCTCGATTCGGGTAGGGGTTTGGATGAGACCTGGATGATCGTACGAAGATGGGTGAAGCACAGTCCTCCATTCTCTTCCTGTAAAGAGCTCCATCCTTCCCTAGCTCAGGCCGTGGATTGGCTTTGGATGGCCATGCCACAGAAGGGCTATTTAAAAAATCACTACCTCTGGATAGTGTTAGGAGCCCATGAGCTGTAATTAAAATTCAACAGTTTCTTTATTGGTAGAATAAAGAATTGGTAGAATCATTTTCTCCCATACTCATGAACACTGATGACCAGTGATGGTCTCCAGACAGGAGGTTCTCAGAGTCCTGGTTTTTCCATGTGATGGATGTGATCAGTAAGATTACCCGCCCAGGCACTCTCCCAGCACTCTACCTCCCGCACGGAGCACACGGCACCCTGAATCGCAGGCGCAGTCGTGTGAATTCATTGTCCTGCCCTGGACAGCACACTCCATGTGCCATCCGTTACTTGTGCCTGGCCCGGTGTTGTGCTCAGAAAGAACTGAGGCATGGACGCATTTGAAGACCTACTTTTTTTTTTGTCTTTTTGAGACAGGGTCTCACTGTGCAGTTTAGGCTGGCCTTGAGCTCACTTTGTTGCCCAGGCTTGTCTCAAACTCGCAATGATCCTCCTGCCTCAGCTTCCTTAGAGCTAGGATTACAGGCATGCACTACCACACCCGGTTTGAAGACCTACTTTTCAATTATATAAAACTCTTTCATTGGTTCCTTGAATTGGTACAATTTGGGACGTGGCATTTGCAGGGAGGAAACTTTTTAACTTTCTGAGAGAAATTTTGAAAATAAACCTTTTGAGTCAAAATTGATAGAAAAGCAAGAATGCTGACAGTAGCAACACATAAGACTATCTTTCCTCAGTTGCAACTGTCCATAGTTTTCAGCTGGTGTCTGATAATTACAATATAATTTTTTTTGTACAGTTCAGGCTGCCTCTGAACTAACTATATAGCTCAGCCTGGCCTCGAACTTGTGGCAATCCTCCTGCCTCAGCCTCCTGAGTGCTAGGATTACAGGCGTGTGCCACTGTGTCTGGCACACAATATAATTCTTGATGCTACCCTGGGTGCATTACAATCACAGGTTAAGGTGACACTCATTTTCATTAAGTAAAATAACGTGTATTCAGTGCTCAGAAGAAAACCCGGCCTATGATAAGCACTCCACAAGTGATAGCCAGTGTTCTCATTAGCATCTCGGCAGTATACAGCTATATTCTTCAGACAAATATATTGTCCACAGTAATCAGCAGCCACCTTGTGAAAACCTCAGCCCAATATAATTTTTCCTCCCTTTAAATTAACTAGACGCACTCAACTTTATTCCTAAATTTTGAAAAATATTGTCATTTAAAAGTCTGTTACCAAAGCAAGTGCCTTACAAATATAGTGTACCAATTTTTTATCTCTTTTTACATTCAGGGATACATAGAAGCTCTCTCAAGGTTAAATTTTTTAATATCAAAAAGGCTTACCTTTCTCTTTGCTCAAGAAAGAAAACAACTGATTCAAGATACCTCCTTGAAAAAAAAAAATCCAGTTTTTACAAAAGTACTGTTCTAGCTTGTTGGGAAATAATTAATATATAAGTAGTGTGCCTAGGCCCGTAAACCTGCATGTTGATACAAAAGAAGAGATCACCCAGGCTGTAAGGAGCAAGGAATAAATGTGTTTCCACTAAAACTCCAGACACTCGGGATGTTAAACAATCTGCTGAGATCGGGCTGGAGACTTAAGTCTTTTGGAACCATTTTTATTCCACTAATACCTTTCTGCCCAGCCTGCATTGATCATAAACACAGCCCATCTCCGCCTTTGATAAATGGAAGGATGGATTCATCGGTATGTAGCTCGCCTCTGATTTCCTTTGACATAAAACACACGCCACAGCTGTTACCGTTCTTCACACAGATGTTTCTGCACGCAGGGAGACACTAACTGGCTGCCATTCGTTCTAGGGGGGTCAGGAGCTTGACACCTTGTCCGGGACCCTGGGTGAGCGCAGGGCTCTGTGTGTGGTCTCACCCGCCAGTGCCCCGAAAACGCACTTGGGACAAAACGGAGAGCAGCTCTGCACACTTACCTCCGCTGCGGGGACACCCTGGGACTTCCCGGGCGGCCCTAGGACCTCCTCAGCCTCGTCCTGGTGCCCGGCCTCCTTGGCTTCCTGCTGGTCTTCAGCTGCGGCTTTTTCCCGTCCCTTGTCCAGTTTGAAAAACTTCTCAAAAAAGCTGGAGTCCTTGGGCTTGGAGGGGGCCGCACCCTCGGACGCAGGTGGGAGAGGCGCCTGTACCCAGGTGGCCGGGAGGGCCTGGTCCGCGGCCGCGCTCAGCTCGGGGATTTTATCCGTGGCCGGGCCCGGTGCAGCTGCTCGGCCAAGGGCTGGGCTGTCACTCGGGTCTTTGTTCGCTGGAGCTGAGTTGGAGCTGACATCAAGCTTCGCTGCTCCAGCGGATGAATCCGTGCCTTGGTCTCCGGTACGTCCTGGTACAGGCCGAGAGAGTGTCAAGAAAAAACGAGATTTAGCAGCTGGTGCCTCGGGCTTGGCCTCTTTCCCAAGATTCGTTCCGCTGGCGTCGGCCGCAGTGCTGATCTCCATTGTCTTCGGGGAAGAGGCGGCCGCATTATCCTTCTGGACGCCTATCCCCAGATCGACTGTAAACACAAACATAAACAGAGGTTATTCAATGAGCTGGGAAGCTCCGGAGGAATAATGGACTCCAAACACTTGATGCTCGCAGGCCAGGACGCAAGCTGGGGCCGGGCTCTTCCCAAGCAGAGGCCAGCCCCGTGGGCGCTTTCTACCGCTATCTTCTGGAGGAGGGAAGGGGAGGTTGGCCAGGAGGAAGAGCCGACTCCTGGGGAGCCACTAGCTACCAGGTCCCGTACGCGGCACACGCAGGCATAACTAGCTGCTTCATCTTCTCAGGGACCGGCGGGGAGCACATTGTCACCGTTCCGGCGGGGAGACAGTGCAGTGGCTGAGAGGCTGGGCTCAGGAGCTGGAACAAGGTCGCCCTTGGTGCCATTGACATTCAGGGCCAGACTATTCTTTTTTTTTTTTTTTTTTTGGTTCTTTTGTTTTTTTTCTGGTATCAGGAATTGAACTCACGACCTTGCACTTGCCAGGCAGGTGCTGTGCCGCTGAGCTAAATCTCCAGCCCCTGGACTATTCTTTACTATGGGGACCTGTCCTGCGAATTAAAGAACGCTCAGCAGAGGGTGAGGACCAGCACTCCTCCTTATGACAGTGAAGCACCTGTACGGGCATCGCCGGATCTTCCCTGGGGGACAGTTATCTCGTTTTGAAATTTTGTTCTTTTTCTCTTTAAAATTAAAAAAAATTTAAAGATAAGTGAACATTTTCCAATATAAAATAAAAAACCACTTTGCTCACAATTACTACAATTTTTTCTAAAGCACATTCTACAGTTGTGGTATATCAATAAATGATTGAAAGTAAAAGAAAAAGTCATTCATGATTGCGAACTGTTGGATTAGAATATTGATTTGAATCCAAGTTATTTAACTTTACCCTGCTTTAACTTTCTGGAAAAATGATACAATCTATCTCATTATTTTGTTACAAAGATGACGTGGGTCAATATTTTTAAAGTCCATAGAACAGTGCCTGGAGTTTAGTAAGTGCTCAATAAATATCACAAGTGGCAGCTAGCATCGTTCTTCACGAGTGAGAAAACAGACCTGTCGGTCCATCTTCCCAGTAAACTGATAAATAGCTGATCCTGGTTTTTTTTTTTTTTGATGGTACCTGGAATCGAACTCATGACCTCACACTTGCCAGGCAGACACTATGCCGCTGAGCTATATCCCCAGCCCTGTGATCCTGGTTTAGGCAGAAAGTGATTCCTTTATTGTACCAGAACATTTTATTGCATAGATCGTTACAAGAACTGAAGATTGTAAAAAGCACTACTCAGAAACGTTGTCCTTTGAAGTCTGGAAGAGCAGGTGTTGATCTAAGCAAGCAAGCTGGCCCTCAGGCCCGCTGGAATTAGAGATGCGAAGTTAGCTGTGTGGGGACTGAGGGACTCCGCCTCCCCCCAGGGGAGCGCTATGCCAACATCTGCCTGCTTCTGCTTTAACTTCTGCCTTTATTTAATTGAGCTGTCTTCTTCTCTAGATCATTTTTTAAAAAATAAAGCAGTACAATATTTAGGGGGAAAATACCTAGAACTTTGGAATCCCAATTAAAGACCGAGATCCTCTATCGATAGGCTATGTGATCTTGGGAAAGTCCCTAAAAGCCCTTGAATTTCCTCATTTGTGAAGGGGAAATATCTGTAGCTCCCTCGTGGGGCTATTCAGACGCGGAAGGGACCTCACACAGACAATCTGCACAGCGCCTTTTCCTTTGCTTTGCTAAGAAAGTGCTTGACCCCTGGCAGCTACTGCGAAGATATTTTTAGAAGATTTTCTCCCTGCCTCTGACAACACGACATTATACTTGCGGCCCTATAGCCAGATGCCGCTTCACCCCGGCAGGCAGGAAGGAAAGAGAAAGGAGGAACTGAAAGTTCTTTGTTCTGCTTAGATTGCACGTTAATATGTGGCGATAAACGCAAGCCTGCGTTTGTTAGCAATCGCTTTTCTGCCAGACTCCAGCCTCACACCAGGCACTGAGTGAAGAACAAATAAACAGGCAGTGAGCACTCGCTGGGTTCTGGTGCAGGACGGCAGGGTCCTCATGAGCCCTGGAGGAGCAGCCACCTGCTGGGACAGGGCCAGAGCCCGGGGAGGGGCCCTTCAGAAAGCGGATGCCTCAGAAGGCGCCCGCCAGCACACCGCTGCATTCTCAGCTCTTCATCCCCTGGGTTTATGGCCTGGGGACTCAGACTCTGGACAAACACACTCAGGGAGGGAGGGAGAGAGAGAGACGGAGAGTAAAAAGTGCTGAACTGAGGCTGAGGCAGGCAGGTGGGCCAGCGTGGTGGCGCAAGCCTGAGGGTGAATCCAGGTGAACCCCAAGCCTGGTGCCACTGGGAGCAGAGGACACAGCCCACAGGACAGAGAGGTTGAGGAGGGTTTTTCAAAGTGCCAAGAGCGTTGCCTGATCTTTCTCTTGTTTTTCTTTCCTCCTCATCTCCCGGCTGGAAATGAAATGAGTCACTGGTGAGTAAGAGTGTTACAGTCCGAGAAGAAGTCTCTGGAAAACATACACACACGCACACACACTCCTTCCCATGGAGACTTTTTAAAAAGTGCCACTGTATCGCTTTCAGTGGAGAAGATTTCAACACGCTTAGAGACGATCGCAAACAGAAATAGTGGTCCCAGCTTTCAGAGCACAGATGAAACGGTTTTCCTAACGTATCAGGATTTGGACTTCTCCGATGGCACAGCCCACGACAAGTGAAGCTCTGCCCCCCAAACTTGGGCGGGTGCTTACCCAAGACAGTCACTAGGTTTCTACTTCTCCTGCTGCGATGCTTGCTTCCCACGTGGACACGTGACTGAAGCTGGACAGATTAAGATTCATCCTGGGGCTTTTGCTACATTTATCAGAACGGAATTGCACCGTTTGTGTTTGGCATACCCCTGGGGGTCTCTCTGGAAGTGGTGGGAGACGTGGCTATCACACTGGGGGTGGAGTCTCACGTGAAGAACCAATTCAGATGTTGAGCAAAGCCCCAGAGATCCAGGAAGCAGATGCCCAACGATAGCACTTGGACATCCGGGTCTAGCTGTGCCTGAGGTCGGACTGTAGTACCATACAAGCCGATAACGGCGCTAGTTTAAATCGAACGTAGATTCAGTGACTTGCAAAGAACTCTGGGGAAATGGTTAGTACCTGTTTCACTGTTTTTCAGTGGGAATCACCCCCTTCTTCCTGGGAATCTGCCTCTGGGCTTGTAACCCTTGCAGGCAGTCAGGAAGAAGTTGGAGGAGGAACAGAGGGGATAAAATACAGAAAAGTGAGCTGTAAGTAAGGAATTAGATGGGAAAGAAAATTCACCGAGGTTTTGTCTTTACTTAACCTTTTATGGTGCCCACTTTATAAGTTAAACTTTATCCTGGGTATCTGTGTAGAGGAAATAACTGCATCTATCAGGTCAGCCCTCCTGGAGTCTGGGGCAGCTCCTGGAGGTCTGCGGTGGGAGGGGTCCCCATGGACGGGCCACTGCAGCTGCTTATTGCTTACTTGTTTCCTCGTCCCCAGGATGTAAACCCAGTCTAAGGGGACATGGATTGGATGTGTTCCGGGCTACAGCTCCAAATCCTGCTAGTTCTGATAGTAAAAGAGGGAAGCAGAAATTTCTCATCATAATCTTATTCACAAACACAGCGTCTGTAATGGTTGATACATGGTCAACCTGAGAAGTTTAGAAGTTCAACTAAGTGACTCAGCAGGGGGCCAGGGTCCTCACTTTGTAAACATCCTCAGCCTGTGCAGGAGGAGGGCAGGGAGACCATGTGGGTGTAAAGGACTCACCCAGGGGTGGAGAGCTTGATTACAGTCTAAGGGAGGAAAAGAGGCTTCCCCCTGCCTTTTGCTCTTGCTGCTTTTGCTGTTTTCTGCCACCTTGGGCTATTGCCCCTCTGCCATGCCATCCTTCTTTGGAGCCAGCTGATTACGGACTGAAACCTCCACAAACTGCAAGCTAAATAAACCTTTTCTTCCTTAATTTTGGGAGTCGAGTATTTTGTCTCAGCAATGAGAGACAAGTAACTAAGGCAGAACCCACTTGTGAAAAGCATTCCCCACTTGAACATCCCTTCTTATGGCATACTGTTCTATGCACCAATAAGCTGGTCTGTCGGGAGGAAGCAGAAAGTGGGCATAGAATAAACGCTGCTTACACAGAGGGATTTCCCACCTCGCAAAGCCTACAGGAGTTTGTAGAGTCGGTGAGTTACTGTGGGTGACCGGCTTGTCTCACACAGTCCTTGTGGGACATGGATCTGGCAATGTTAAAATGGTACCAGACGATGTAGGGAAAATGGAAGGTGAATTCTTCAAGAGAGACTTCCATATGAATACAAAGGGTTATGGTCGGACCTTGAGAAAACTGGTGAAGGGTTTCAAACGCTTTGCGAAAATGACCCTACTGGGGGTGTGTTGCTAGAATCGAATCCCACATAAACAACTGTAGCTTTTCACATTGTGCAAATGCATTGGCCGCCCAAGGGTCTTGAAGTCAGGATCCACGGGCCAGACACTCATGGCTGGCTTGGAGGAAGGCATTAGATTTGACAGTTTCGCTGGGGGATCACATTTCATGCGTTTCATCCCAATATGAGGATGTCTTTGCACAGAAATTCTAGCGTAAACAAAAGAAAAGAGTGGGTTTTGTGTGATCACGGGGGTGTGTAGAATTCTTGACTATCAGCTTGATACGTCATCTCTGGACATTTAGTGACAAAAGTGTTGGCTCCCCACGGAATGTGAATGTGAGGCAATGGTGACCCCATGCTGCCCACTAGATGTCCCCTGAAGGCCACAGAGGTTGTCAGCGACTGTGCAGCAAGGCTGTGGCAGTGACACACTCTCATCCCCACTCCTTCCTTCCTGTCACTCATCTGCCTGTGTGTGTGGGACGTACAGAGCTGACATAGACGCAAAGCCAGCATCCGGGCCAACGTGAGCAAATACTGCCCCCACTTGATTTGGCCTTATGTTTTTTCTTTCCTAA